CGCAGAGTTTTAAAAAAACAATCCAGATAAAAAAAAGCCCTCGACCAATTTTTCCAATGTTTTTAGACTTTACCACATTCTTACACTGTTATTTACTTGTTTATAAAAAATGTTTGCCTTTTGTTTTTGTCTTACCTGCTTTCTGGAGCCATTCTTTGTCAGACTCAAACCCTGTTGTCGCAGTCAACTCCACTCTACAACTCAAGTCTGCCGACATACCTGTCAAGCTACCTGACAAACTGGTTAACAGTGGAAAAGCGGTTAGCTAAATAACTAGCTAAATCCAGCTAAAACCAACTTGACCAGCCTGGTTTAAGCCGGACATAGCTGGTTTTGGCATGGCCTCCAGCCTGGCTAGGCTGGTCAAGCTGGTTTTAGCTGGTCATCTTCCAGCCTGACCAGCTAAGACCAGGCTGGAAATGGCTGGAAACCAGCCTGGAAATGGCTAAAACCCTTCTAAAACCAGCCTGGTCGACCAGCTAAAACCAGCCAACCAGCCTAGGCTGGTTTAAGTAGGTTTTTTTCAGTAGGGCAATGATGGAGAGCTTTAATTAGGCCTAATTAAAATGAAGCCTTTTTGTTAGTTCTGTATGCTAAACCAATTAGGTTCTGCATCGTCTACTGTAAGATAATCAACAAAGTGTGTTAAGGGACTATCAAAATAAAGTGAAACATACAGAATTTACTTTGCAGTTTTTTTTTTTATATTAGTGTTTTTAATTTTGGACAATAGAAAATAAAATAAGTCTTTGGTTAGAGCCTTGTGGATGTCCGGCAGGTATAAAAGATTCTGCTAGTCTACATTTCCAACAAAACAGGAGTCTGGCTTGTCAAAACCCGACTTAACGGCGTAAACTTCTGTGTAAGCAAACTCACAGAGAACTTCAAAGGGTCAAGAATCCTGCAGGGATTTGGCCGCTGAGATGCTACCCGACAGATCCTGATCTTCCAGTCGCATTAATTCAGGCCTGCTAAATTTGTCCAGGGGAAGCTAGCTATAGCGCGGGCATCGCTGAACTCCTTGAGGTAGGGGATCGAGGGTTAATGCCGCCCTGATCCCCTAGGAGAGTATTGGCTTCCAAGGGAGCCACAAGCAGCCGGGCAGCAGCCGGGGGAGATCTAGTGCCTGAGCCCTGCACAACTTGAGAGAAACTAGCGGAGTAATTTGAGCTAATGACTTAGCAGTGAGCTCTGGCCTGACCTCGAGCTTGGCTGGAGCAGATGCTATCAGCTGAACAAGGCCTCTAAAATGTGAAAAAGTGCTCCTGCTGCCCTTGTCTTGCTCTTTAGTCCACGAGTTAAGGCCAACTAGCCTATTAGCATTCCAGCAGGACCGCTAAACAGAGGTTTAATTAGCGCCGATATTGGTGGAACTTCATTTAGCGCCTACTCATGCTAATGCAGCACACGTTAGCATCTTCTGGGGGTTTTGTGTGTCTGTCTGCAAGGCATTAATGAAATGTAATACGAAGAGAGAGGTACAGATGGAGAAAGAAAAGCAGGGCGGTAACTGCCTGCTTATTTTAAACTTTAGCCGCGGCTAATGTTTGCCTTTCTCCGTGAAAGTGTAGCGCCGCCATCCTTTAAAAACTGAATTCCGGTGTCAACGGAGAGAAGCGTGTGATGGAGGAGGTCAGATGAGATCACATCACATCGATTTATTCTATCTGACGAAAAATATGACGCCAGTGTGTGTGAGACTAATAAGTCCGTCATCATAAGGAGGTATTTTGCATTATAATGTAAACATAGCTAAATATTTCCTTATATACACAAATAATATTATAACGAGTATTTTTACACTTCTACAGTTTTAAATCACCTTTGGTACTTATAAATGCATTTATATATATATATATATATATATATATATATATATATATATATATATATATATGCTATATATATAGGCTAGGTCAACAACTTCTGATTATAAATGCTTTATTTTAAATTTAATAAACGTATTAAATGCTCTAAACCTGTGTGTTTGTGTTAGAGTTAACGAATGCTATAGCATTGTAAAGTATCACATGTTTTTAAACACTTGCTAAATGTAAAATGTGCAATTGTGTACCAACTTGAACTTATTGGTTCTTGTTATTTTAAGTGCTTGTAATCATATTTGTATTTGAACCTTTGTACAAGTAGCTTTTAATTAAAAACGAGTCGGGCGTGTGAGAGAGGATATTTAAAGGTGTTCGGTTACCTCTCTTATTAGTGCAAACAGTGACATATTAAAAAATAGCATTCCCTTGGCCTGTCCTCATCTTACACAGCCATCCCCACCCTTCATTAAACTCTCCACCAATATTTTTCTTTCTTCTCGCGCTGCTTTCTTTGTCATTCTGCCACTATTTAGGTTAACTCAAGCCTCCTTGATCATTCATGGAAATGCTTTTTCTATAAAGCAACACACACACACATGATAGATATGCACCCAGGGAAAATCCTCCTCAGCGTTAAGTGCGTTAAATCCTTCCCAAAAGCGTGTTTTATTCTTAAAGCTGACTAAAGGTGTTAACAACCAGAAGTGAAACATTTCGGGGGATAAATTAAATATGACATGCAACAAACAGAGAGAAATAAGCAAATAGGCTGTTAAGTGAGATCTACTGTATTTGGCAGGAACTGGAGGCCTGTAATGGTCTTATTTAGAGTCCGGTGTGGACAAACTCTCCCTCTGCTGCCTTGATCAGGCTAATGGGAGGACATCATCTCTGACACCTTTATGGAAGAACCGACCCGGGACTCACTTTAGAGCCTCGCAGACTTTGATGTATCTCATTAAACCCACATGCACTCGATTTGTTAATACTTTTTCTCTCCTTTCCTGACCCGAAATGTTATTTACGGCTTGACTCTAATGGTAGATTAAAGTTGTAAAGATAAACGGTGCAGAATAGAGGAGGCCATTAGAGGCTCCGCGTTCAGAAAGTGTCTCAATAATGTGCTTTTGCCCTCTTCAGTTGGATTCACTCAGCTAATCACAAACACAAATTAGAAAACAACTATTACATATATTCAGTATCTCATTAGCAGTTTAAATATTACAAAGTAAGCCTATTTTACTACTTTTTAAATAGACTATACTCACACTTTATTAATATGAAAGCATGCTATGCTATTTATTCCTTTTTTAAAAGATTGGGATAGGCTTAAGATTGTAATATATAACCTTATTTGAACCCAACACAGTTTATTACTAACAAACAATCCAATGGCTACGCTATGATCAATGTAAACAATTTAATATCAACTCTTAAACGTGTCAGCCTTAAATGTCACCATCGCAGAAATTAAACTAACTTTTAATTATCGGGAAACCTGTGCTTAATTATCCACATATCTCATTCAGAATTCGTAGACTAAAATATTGCTTTAGTGTACGTATTAAATAGCAAAATCCTCATGCCGCAAATCCTCAATAACCGGCGCTGTTTCAGCTCACCTTTACCTGATCCCAATCAAACAGAGGTGCCTGAACTTCTTTGATGTTTTCAAAGGCTGTTTTACAGAAACAATAACTCTTTTTATTGAGAACAAATGTTGACATTTGAAGGGAGTATGAATGGAAACCGCCTGTGGTGCCATTTTGACAACAGTGGTCGATCCCCCGGGATCCCACCTGAGATTAAAGTCTGAATTTCAATAATTCACCTTTAATAATCGAGCCTAGGCTTATATGCACAAGCGAAAAGCACTTCAAATGACTAAATCATGCGTTGAACTATCGATGAAAGTGACATTCAGTCAAATTCAGTGCTGTGTAAAACACGCAGCATTAAACGCGAGTGACTTATTACGAAGATGAAAACACTCACTGATGTGTGCAATTTAATTATTAATCGTTGAAAACCATTAAAGCACATAATCAGCTCTATTTATTATGGTACTATTTTTATGTACCTATTAATATTGATTTCATAACTGCTGTTGTTATTATATCCTACTATTAAGGTCACACTTTATATTATACGATTTTATTAGTTGATGTGCTTACTGTGAAATAATTAAGAGCAATACTTGTAGATCATTGATTAATCACAGTTCAAAAATTACTAATGCACTATTAATATCCAAATGCATGCGTGTTAGAATTAGTTAATGCACCGTGAGTTAACATTAAACTTTTTTTTCATTAACTAAAATAAAGAAATATTGTTATGAATGTATTTTTCAATTGTTTGTTAGTTAGTTAATGCATTAACTAGCATAATACGACCTTATTGTAGTGTTACCGAAAATCCAAATGCATGCTTGTTAGCATGCTAATGCACAACTCAACAATTTTATTTTAATTTATTGACACGAACAAATACTGTAATAAATGTACTGCTCGTTGTTTGTTCAAGTTAATAAAAAAATATTATACCTTATTGTACAGTGTTAATATAATAATAATAATAATAATAATAATAATAATAATAATAATAATAATTACAAAAATACGCCTATTTTCTTAATTGGGCGAGGGCTAATGTGTAGATAATAATTGCTGCATTGAGCTGCTGTTGAGGTTAACACACACTGAGGCTAATCTGTTTTAAAAAAGGCCTTTAAAATTTTAACGGGGGCCCCGTATAAGAGAGACGTCATTGCCATCATCACACGGGCCCCATCGGAGCTGGCAGATGTTTAGACACGATTTTATGGATCGTTCAATATCGGTCTATAATGAAGCCCGACTGACCATCTTAAAACCCCGCCGGGAGCTCATAACGCTTCCTTTCCAGCCCTGTATTCATCATGCTGAAAAATAGATGAAGGCCGGGATTATAAGCAGCTTCTATTATTCACTGCCATCAAACATTCACGCTTTGCATTCAGAGACAGCGGGAATTTAATGCAAATAATTAAAATTGGGACGATTTCGGTGTTAAACTCGCCACCTAATTTGTATGGCATGACTAAATGTATACGACAAGCAAACAACTACGATTAAAAAATAATAATAATGAGACGTTTCCTCAAAAGAAAAGCAGGCCGGTCCCCAGACAGTGTTGTGCCAGTGCAGACTAGCGCATTTTTATTTACAACGAGAGATATAAATTAGTAAAAGTCTCCTTGTTAACAACATTGTGTAACTTCGGCTTTTTTAAAATAAAAACCCATCATAATTTATTTACAAAACAATGTTCAGCAACCATTGCAATACAACTTGCATAAATTATAGGCATTACAAAAATAAATATCAAATGTATTCCACTCTTAGTCAAGTTTATACCAGTCCCGAGATCTCATTTACACTTCACACCTCTATAGCACATATAAAGTCTCATAGGAGGTCTATAATAATAATAATTAATAATAATAAATGTCCCACGCGTGTTTACAACTGGTGGCAATGAAGCTACTATTAGGATCCTGAGAAATAAGTTTCCTCATGGAAAAGTCACATGTGTTGGGATAAAGTACTTCATCAATAAATCAGCAGTTCGTCCAAAGCAGACTGGCTATTGTGCCTTATAAACTCGCTCTTCTTTCTCTTGTCCTGTCTTGTCTTTGCGTTTCTGTCCCGCAATCGCAGTGTTGTTGTTGTTATTGTATAGGCAGGTGCTCTGTAGTCCGTGGGTGTACAGTGGCACACAAAAGAGGATCCGCGTATAAGGAGCAAATGTTAGTTTAAAACAGCTTGGGGAGAGAGAGAGAGAGAGAGAGAGAGAGAGAGAGAGAGAGAGAGAGAGGGAGAGAGAGAGAGAGAGAGAGAGAGAGAGAGAGAGAGAGAAGGGGTGATGGCTTGTTCGCTTTGTTCAAAGCAATTGTGACACCTACCTGTGAACCAAGGAAACAAAACCTACATCAGTCGATTTTTCCAGAGAAAGTGAATGAAATAAAACTACAGCATGACATTTAGAAATACACACACTTCATGAAGCAACCTTTGAGTCGATGGGAAGTGTCATATTCATGCACTCTAAATATGCTGGGTTATTGTAACCCAACGCTGGGTCAGATAAGGACAAATTTGCAAAAAGCAAAATCGTAAAATAAATTTAATTACAAAAAAATAAAAAATAAATCCAATATTTGGATAAAACATCTCAGCATTATTTATAGCGTATGTTGACAGGTGTCAAATATGAGGACGTGGCCTTCAGAAGCATACAGAATAATAATAATCAGCACTGAAATGCTCAAATTAGCGACTTACTTGGAAGATCTTCCTCGTCTTAACTCGACAGGTAAGATTGGGATCTTACTGTGAAAACCTCGCTGGGGTCTGCAGGAAATACACACCCAATTTAGTGAAGGGAATCGTTTTGACAGCTTAAATGGGCTACTTCGTATTCCGCGATCGATTGAGGGAATAAACAGTAGGGGAAATGCATGTCAAGTGCAAACAACAATATAAACGAGGGAACTGCGGAATCTGGTTAACATTTATAAGTTTTTTAAACACAATTTAAGGTAGAATATAAGACAAACTCAATCAATCTGGTTATGAATGAATTGAAATTAACAATCCAGCAGTTTATGCATACACAATTTGCGTTGAAATCATTTTAAAACCGCGACCGATTCTGTAAAAAGGGTCTAATAATATAATATAATATAATATAATATAATATAATATAATATAATATAATATAATATAATATAGCTGTCAGAGATTAACAGCCTACGCACCTTTTTTGGATTCTGCATTGGAGGCCCTGAAGTGAGCTTCAGTCTGGTTTGGATTAGTCTTTATTAGCGGCTCTCCAGTCTGTTTATGAAGGAGTCCCTCTGCGGCGGAGTTGTAGCGCAGTATCCCCTGGCCCTGAAGCGGGCTGAAGTTGCCATAGTTTGTGTAATTACTATAAAACGGAGAAGTGTAATAAAGAGGTCTTCCTAGTATGGAGGTGGCGGGGTAAACCGCGCCCGCCGGGGACGCGCCGGGCGCGCTGGAGGTCAGAAGGCCGACACCCGGGGGACAGTTCTGCTGCTTGGGGTCCGAAGTGGCGATCTCTGCTAATGACCACAGCTTAGGCTTGACGGTTTGGTTTTGACCGTCCAGGCATGTTTTGTTGGTGCTGTTCTCCCGGTGATGATGGGTCAATAGAGGCGCCTCCACCCCGGTCAGAGGAGAAGAGGTCACCGGTTTGGGTGACGCGCCTCGCTGCCTTTCCTCCCCGAGATCCGTCGCCTCGCATTTGTCCTGGATTTCAGCTCCAGAATCGCAAACAAGGTCTCCGGTCCGACACGTGACCTTCTCCCCGTCCGACTCCACCGAGCACGAGTGGTCTGTCAGGGCATCGACGTGCAAACTGATGCCTGGAGACAGAAGCGGCACCGCAGTGAGATTATTGCGTTAAAAACTAATAATAAAACAGTCATAAAATTGCACTGATGCATTTTAGAAATATGAATCCATATTAGCGTTAATGCACTCTAATAATTATTGGTGTAATACGGGGTACACACACTGCTGGGTTATTTTTAAATTAAATAAATAGGGCCGAAATTAACGCAATGTTTGGATTAGTCTGAAGTGTATTAAATTTGGGTTTAAAATAACCCAGCATTTCTTAGAGCTAAAATCTTGGGTTAAATATAAACACACACAGCGGTTGGGTTAAAATGTATAATTTAAATAAAAAATAACTCAACATAATATTGGTTTTGTACATATTTGAACCATCAACCCTGCAATTTTAAAGTGAAATAGATCCATCAATCAAATCTTATAACATCTCATGCCATGCAATACATTGTTTAAAGTGTCATACATTTAAAATAAATCAGCTGATGTTATTATTATTATTAATATTAGTAACGCACCTTCGTCCTCAGCTGACGCTTCGCTGTTGTCCATGTTTTTATCCGTGCGCTCGTCTTTTCTCTCTCCATCTCCGTCATCTTCGTCTTCGTCTTCACTTTTATTCCGCGGTGCCCAGGTCATCTTGTTCTCCTTCTTGAGTCTCCGTCGTGCATTGGCGAACCAGGTGGACACTTGCGTGAGGGTCATTTTGGTGATGATGGCCAGCATGATCTTCTCTCCTTTAGTGGGATAGGGGTTTTTCCTGTGCTCCTGCAGCCACGCTTTTAACGTCGCTGTTGCGTCCCGAGTGGCGTTTTTCCGGTAAGCGGGATCGTTGAGCTGGTACGGGTAACCGGGACTCCCGTACGGGTGATAACTTATGGCTCCTGCCATTCCCGTAGTGTGCGCGTCATACGGAGAGCCCTTCAAAAATAACATTCGGGGTCAGTCAAATGTTCTTGTATTTGTGTTTTTGCTTTGCAAACACTTTAAAAATAAATAGCTTAATTTAAAACAAAAATAATGTAGGATGAATAATAATAATAATAATAATAAAACAATTCAAATGCAAATTAACCAATGATCCATTCTGCGTTTTTATAAAGTTAATGTCATTAATGATCGCCATTCTAAAGTGTATCCAGAAATATAATACTAATAATAATTAAGCCAATAAACAACGATTAATCCTCTACGCAATTATCAGAATGCACAATTACACGGGACCGGGGTGGATAACAGATAATGGGTAATTGCAGCCATTTTGCATAATCACCAGGCTGACTTTCCCAGTGCTCTTTCAGTGTCAGAAGCATATCAGTGAAGCGCAGCATTACAAATCCTATTAGAAAACCACTGGATATGGACTGGCTTTTTTTCCACGCGCTTTCATGTGCCATGTCATTAGCATGGCAATTCATCAATTGACGATTAAATAACGCTATTTAACTCTATAACGCTATTTTAAAAAAAGGTGTTTTATTTAATTTGCTTACTAATAATTTAAATAAGATCGCAAACAATAATGTCTAAAGTAAAACAGAACGCGGCCTATTAACTAAAACTAAAAGTAGGCCTGGAAGAATGTTAACACACAGCAGTGTGGCCGTTTCGCGTGTAAAAAGCGCACTTTCAGACATTCCCGCACACACGAAATAACTTTATTATTAGAATCGCGTCCGGATGAATATATTATTCAGAGCATTTGTATTCATGACCCGAACGAACTTCCCTTTGAAACGCACACACACACGCGCGCGCACGCTCGCACACACACACACACACACACAACTCCAGCAACCAAAACTATAACCGTCCTAAATCATGCAATATTCATGCATTCCTATCAAGAACAATGCGCAGTGAACGGCTCTGAAAAGGTACCATGTAGGACGGGAATCCCGTGGCCGGATCTGTGGAGTAGGGCAGCGGGCTGGAGAATCCGTTGGCGGAGGCTGTGAACGCCGCCGACCCGGGGTACGGGCTGAACGCGGAACCGGAGGATGACCGGGCCAAATCCTCGCTCCTCGGGGCGGCCAGCGGACACGAGTAAAGCGCCAGAGAGCCCGGGGGCTGGTAGAGGTAACCCTGAGGATAGGACATTATTACTCAGCTTCTCTCCACAACGCGAAATCGGGCTGATCGATGGAATCAGCGCATTGACGCACCGGACGCGAACTAATAAAATAAAATAAATAAACGCGCACGAGAGGAGCGTTCAGCAGAGAGCCGTCATGGAGATCCCCTAGCGTCCGTTTGTTTGTAGTGCTCGGGAGTGGAGAGTGAAGAGTTGCTGGAAGGAGCAGGCGAGTTTCTGAGAGCATTGGAGAAACGGGAGCTGTCAATCACGGCTCATCTGAATATTCCATCCCCGCCCCCTCTCTCTCTCTCCCTCTCGTGCGCGCGCGCTGTGAAATGCAATTCCGGAACAAAACCCGCACAGAAAGCAGCCCGTGCGTGCATGTGTCCTCGCCGGCGTTTATCTACTGCGTTTTTCTTTCTTTTTGATTTGCTTGACGGATGACACGATGACACTTTCCCATTTGTCATTTATCTCTCTCTCTCTCTCTCTCTCTCTTATGTTGTTGTAAAAACCCCGCCAGGTTGGCCTGTATTTAATCACAACTATGTAGTGCACAATGCAGACAACTAAGTGTGCACTAAGATTGCATTTGTAATTGTCAGTGAAAGTTTTCCGAAACAAATGCAAACATTTCCAAAACATATTGCACACGATATATGTCTAAAAACAATTATGCA